AAATTCTTAATGGCCACCTATCTCCTGGGTGCAATTTGCAGATCTTTAAAGGACCTGAAACCTTTACAAAAAAAAATCAGGTCATTAACCTGACAGTAATGTACTGCAACCTATCCACCAACAGGTAATCGAGGACTTTGCACTGTTTATTTTTTATGCTCAGTTGTGTAGAACCTATACTATGATGAATATTCATTGCACATTAACTCCAACATCAGTATTCTGAAAGCATTTTAGAATGGTGTTTCAAAACAAAGCCTTTATGTAAATCACTAGTTATCTACAAGCAATCTGGACCAAGGAACCACAGAACACATAAAAACAAGGTTAACCCATGAGGGGGTGGAATTTCTGAGTTACTGACAAGGTCAGTGCATCGTGTATTAACCAGTGAATCACAACCATTGCAAATTACTTACAATGAATTCAGTTCCATCCCGGCACACAGACATGCACGCACAACGACTCCTTTGTAAAAACGTGAATCATTTCACTTTAGACTGCTTTTAGAAGATAGGAACACCACCAAGTCACCATCAGACATGCTGTGTAAGTCCGGTGCATCTTCATTGGCTAAGTACTCATTAACATGGCAGCTGACAGGGCTTTGGAACTCGTGACCCGCATCATGCTCTTCATTACATCGCAAACCTGATGTCAACTTGGAGACTTCCATATCAGTGACACAATGGAAGCGATTTCCATTATAATTTCTTCCTACATGCTAAATCATTAGCTGTGTCTCATTTGCATGGTTATATCTTCGATGACACTCCTGCTTAGTTTCCTCACATCTCTTTAACCAGTCCTCTGCTATACTAAAAAGAAAAAGGTGCAAAACTATCTCCGAACTAAAAAACAGGTTCATTTTCCCCCATAGGACTGTTTTGATTTACTGTCCACCGCATTATCTCAGCAGGGTGGCATGTTGTTGGATTTGTATGACCACCCATCTTGAGAGAATTTACCGTACATGTGGACAAAAGCCTTTAGGAGCAAACCTCCTCGAGGTTTCTATAAAACTCTTTACATATGCAATCTGTTTGGAGGATGGAAATGTCAATAGTTGCTACCCCCTCAAAGCTCAGCCAGAGACTGTGTGAGGCTCACATTTTGCCTCGCCTCTGATCATTTAAAAAGACTTTACTCCGCTCCAGATTGTTGCAATTACAGAGAATAAGTGGCAGCATGTGGTCAGGTTTACGAGTCGTCTTCAAAGAGCAGGCCTGGTTTAGACAGACCAATCTGTGCGACTGTAGAACAGTAAATCCAAAAACAGGCATCGACTGCCACTGACAGAAAGTTGATTGCCGGGAAAAAAAAGTCTGCTTTTTTTGTAAAAAGATACATCTGAAGTCATGACAGATGAACTAATGATGACTGACAAAATAAAAAGTTAAATCAGCTTACCGTAATTACAAAGCCGCAACTTTAAGATTTAAAGTTTCTTTTAAGTGTCAAATTAGCTAAAACAACTCAATTACAGGATTTTCACTACTCAGTTTGACAGAAAAAAAAAACTGTTCTGATGAGCACAACTGCAGGAATGTAATGAGGTGATAATGGAAACAAAGGCCTGAGACAGAAAATGGACAGGGATTAAATCTGGCACAGAGAGAAGTCAGAACTGTCCCCATACAGGGTCAATGTTGGGTTGTTGTGAAGGTGAACGAGGGGTGGGGGACTCTTGACTTCTCAATGAACTCATTTTTATTCTCATGCAACACGCTGCTCCTTGCTAATGATGAGAGCCCTGAGGCAAGTGAGCTGGGATATATGGGTGGTGGGGGGGCTCAGACAGCAGCCAGACGTCTGCAGCACTCTCGGCCAAATGTTTCCAATCAGATGCAGACTTCCAACGAGCGGTGAGGTACAGAGCTGACAGATTCGAGTGATTTGTCAAAAAGGCTCCCACTGTCTGCCAAGAATGACTTGCACAAGAGTAACTTAATACTGCCTCGATATAGAAAAAAATCCAAAGAAAGAAAAACACTTCTACACTTGTCAGAATTCTGTGTGTTGTGGCTCAGAGTTTGATACGACCTGTGTGAATGAAATGCCAATTTTCACAATGACTAAAGAAGGGCCAGAATCCACCACTCCAGACAGCAAACATTACCCATAGATTTTGATTTGAAATACAGTGACCAGCTGGTCTGGCCAGTCAACCAGATTAACCTCTCAAACTTTCGATCAAAATAGAATTAACAAGGAGGAGGCAAGGTGTTATTTGCACAGCAGGATTCCGCCTCACACACATCCAAACAGTTACTGTATTTTATTCAGCGGGATTCCACGTGTCATCCTGAGCAGCGGGACGCTCTGATGCAGGGGGTAATTAATCTCTCCAGACCTGCTCCTCATCTTTTTTAATCTCATTTCCTATATGTCAGCTTCAACCTTTTTACAATTTCAGCGATTTGCCTTCATAAATTCAAGTTAGCCGAAAAAACAAAACATCTAATTAACGAGCGTGTCCCCGATTTCCTCTTCAGTCAACACGCTGTCAGAAAGAGGCAGGTAAATGGCAAAGGTGGCAGTGACAGATGCTTCAACATAATTAATCAAGAAAATTGGTTTTGACGTTTGACATGAAAAAAAGATGATTTCTTTTCATTTGTGCCCCAATCACTAAATGATGATAAAAAGCAATGGCTGTGCTCTTATAAATGGCTATACAATGCATCTTTAACCCTGTAGGCCCTAGGCAATTTTCCACCTGAAGAATGTATTCTAATTTGGTCAGAAATAGCTCCAGCAGTGATAGTGGGGCCAAACTGAACAACTATAAACCCGATGGATGCCAAATTACTGAAATACACAGATTCTGCCTGTTGCAATGTAGTAAAAGACAGCCTTATGATAACGACCGAAAAGGTTAACAGTTGGAAATTAAACCAAGCCAGAGACTAGAAGCATGCTTAGAACAAATACAGCCAGATACAGTTAAGAAGGGCAGAAAACTACATAAGACGTGAGTAAATTCATTTTAAGATTAGAAAGCCCATACCCTATTTATATGGTGTAGATATGATGTTTTACCCACAGTTAAAGCAGGTGTTTTTAATTCCAGATCGTTAGAGCTCCTTAAACGATTAGGCTCACCACACTCTTGCCTGCTGCTAAAAAACAACCTGTTGGATCGAAATGAGTTAAATCATCATGTAAGTGTATCATCTATACACACACATAGACACATTTCCAAAGGAGTTTTTATAAAACTGAGGTAAGCTGATGGGTCTGACATGCCCACACACCTGTTAATTGCACATAAAAACAGATAGCTTGTATAGCAAATGTAAGCTAATGTGTGTATGTACCTATTTGTTGCATTAAATCCCAATATCCTGCTTTCATGTCAACAACCATTTAAGGTAAATGGATATTGTGCATTTCCATTCATGTAGAATCGTGTAGACAGTGACTTATTTTTCCAATTTTGTCCTGTTATACCACTGTAAAAAGCCTGAATGGAATCAGTCTAAATACAGTAATTGTGGACCCTATTAATGAAAGAGGTTAAATAAAACTCGCGATGACATTTTAAGAAATAGGTCTTTTTTGTGTATGGACAGAACTGATGCATTTCCTTAAGCAACATAAAAAGGTTAGTTTGGCACATTTAATGACGAGATTCAAACCTTGATAGAAATTGATACAAGCATTCAAATATATTTTTAGATTTTTTTTTCCCCATGTATTCAATATCTCTCTGTGAGTTTTTAAGATTGTATAAACACAAACCACACAGGTGGTTTGTTCAGAAGTGTGGAAGTTTGGTGCCATTTTGTGGTGTTTCCAGTTGGTTGACGCTGATAGATTTGTTTTTCCTGTTGAAATCATGTTCAGTCATTTTCAACATGGGGTGTTGCTGAGATTAAGATGCTCTGACAGCCAGGAAGAAATATTGATAACTGAATATTTATTATTCCCTGCATGGCGTGGTGGACAGAATTTGTGCTGCTGAACCCTGGGCATCCACACAGAGTGGTGTGTGGCTGATTAGTTACAGTTTACAATCTAAATTGAGATATTGGACAATTCGATAATCACATTTAAGGTTTCCGGCCGTTTTATCTCTTTTTATGTAACAATAGATCACCTTAATAAAGACGATTTTTGGGTTATGAGCAGTTATCTTCAATGTCTTTATTTTCAGTTGCTCTTTTCTTGGTTAATTATTACAATGGTGTTTTTTCCTGTCTCAGTTAGAAAAGGAAGAGACCAGAGATTGTGCATCCTGGATCTCCAGTGTAGAGGGAAATCTTGAAACAGGACTCGTTTATCATTATTGTGGCTCGAGGTGGTATGCTTTGTGTTCTGACACAGCAAATGAGACTGTCCAAAAAACATATAAATAAATCTAATAATGCAATTATAAAACTAAATGATAACTAATTAAACTGTATGACACCTTTGTCACTAAGATTAAACTCATTTGTACTTGTTGATTGAGTAAACGGGTATCTGGGTGATTAATTGTTTTCAGAGGGCAGGACTTAGGTAATGTGTTTGACTCTGTGGCAGAAGAAAGTAATTAAGAGGGTAATATGAGAAATCGCATGGCTTGAAAAGAAAGTTTTATTGCTGATTTTACTGAATATGACAGCAAACGATATACTGCTGATGCTGACCAAGTAAAGAAGGCACTTTTCATTTGAAGCAAACAAAGCATGTTATTAAAAATACAACATAGCTGTACTTTGTACAAAGCTGCCTGCTGTGTATTTTCATCTACGCTGTAACTCTATTGATCAAATTTTCCGCTTTTCTTTCTTTATACCACCAAGAAAACTGACCTTCCAAACCTGCTAGCAAATATCAGACAATGGATGAACCTTTTTATCAAGGTCCACCCACAGAGAATTCAGTCCATTCATAGAATTTGAAGTTGTGATTCTGGTAGACTTGGATGACAAAAAATCCACTTAATAGAAAGTGTTCTTCACTTGACTGGATGGTGTATTTAGACATGTAACACTGAATCATCATTATGAAGAAACATTTTATTCACATGTACTGTAAAAGAGAACACAAGCTGCCGTATCATACATTATACACAAGGTTTGAAAATCCTGTACAAAAACAAAGGTATTAGAAAATATGGGTTTTGATATGAAATATGACCTTACATATAATAGTTTCTTGGAAAAGGTCTTGGTTTGGTAATAATAATCCAATTTATGAGCCTATTCCCATATTAGTGAAAACTGAACTTAGTGTAAAAAATTAGAATGATAAAAATGGTGTAGAAATCATCTGTAGAAATGATTTAAAAATTCCATGCAGCATCTTCAGAGAGGGCCTGAGAGTACATTTTTGTAAAACAAAGAAACAAAGACATATTTGTCATCGATAAAGAAACTAAACACAACAAGAGACATCACAGTCAGTCTTTTTGTAATGATCACTCTCACGGATCCACTCTTTATTTTCTGCGTCAGCTGCTTGATTCATAAACACATTCTGGCAGCTTCAAAGAGCTGATAATGATTGATTCTGCTGAAAAATGCCACAGTCATTGGTTCCGACTCACTGCATGCTTTCATGGGAAACTAACAATTCAGAGGTCTGAAACACTAAATGTTTTGTTCACTTTTTTAAAAAAAACAATCAACTTGAGGACAAAGGTGGTCAGACATTGTTTTGACCATAGGCCTTTATTGGGGGTTTTTCAGTAGTTGCTGTAAAAATGTATTGGAATGCATAGAGCAGAGGCAGGGCTTGGAAAAAAAAGGCAGAGGCTGACAGACCTGTGCTGCCTCATCTGTGCCTCTTTTGTCTTACAGTATACAGAGAGCCCTCATGTCCAAGCCCATTTGAAGAGAAACTGGTCGAACTGCTATCAGTGTCCCCGTTCATCACGCTATCGTCACATGTGAGAGAAGGGAAGTCTCCCGGGGTCGCATGACCGCTTTTGAGGCACCAGAGAGAATGGCTGAATCAAGAATTATCACTCACTGTCCACCAAAGTGTCCCTCTGATTGATATGTTTTGGCTTATTCTCTCCTTCTCAGTGAGACAAACGTCGGCGAGCACAGCCTCACCATCACCGCTCTACCGAGACCCACTTTGACCAAGGCAATAATAGGGAAAAGCATTCACTTCACACTGCAAGCTTGTACGATCCAGCTGGCAGGAGAGGAGCAACAGCAAAAGCAGTCCGTAATGAAAAACAAAACAAAGTCCAGTTTGAAAATTTAGAAAACTATATAACCAGAGTTAAAATAAGGCGCAAGAGGCTGAATGAACATGGATAAAATGCTGACTGAGGTTTCAAAAGAGAGAAAAGGCAAAGTCTGGGAGCGCAATAACATTAGCTTATTGCTTATTCTTTTTTTCTTTATTTTTTTTCTCCCTTACAAGAATCATTGTACACACCACATTAATTTAAATACACTATACAATGCATTATAAAATATTTGTTCATAAAAGCAATATGTTCAGGGTTTGCTCAGGTATGCTGAGGATACCTGCTCCATATGAAAAATAAGAAATAAGAAAAGGAAAACATTGATAAAAAGGCACTTCCAGGTGGTGTTCATTGACTTTTGAATAAGTGACGGCCACTGTTTTGCCATAGAGGCAAAATCAATTGTGCTAACACTTTGTTTTTCTGACATGTCCTAGACAATGAGGCACTGTAGCTAGGTGGTCAAGATTCATTCTGTTTTCATGTAAAGCTCCACTCTCTTCTGCTCTGTCTCCTGTTCTTCATCCCAGTGATATCTACACACTGACCGCTACATTTCTTCTTCCTTTGTCTTCTCACTTGCTCTTCCTTTTCCGCCACTACTTTCTTTTGTCCTCAGACTTCGACTTCACGCAGTCCCTCCTGAATGCCCACTGACGACTGCATGCTGATGTCGAAGCATGTCACCATCATGACATGGGCCTTACAAAGGTTCACACAGAACTCCAGCTCTTCCGTAGCCTGTGCCAACGCTTCCAGGTACTCTGGAGACTCTTTATCCAAATTCTGGTCCACCTCAACTAGTCAAGCAAAACAATGAGATGTTAATTGGTTTGAAGTTGAAGGGTAAAACAGCTATTTAGAAATAAATAAATACATTTACTTACACTCTCCTAGCCACTTGCTGGGATCCATCATTAGCCGTGCCTTGGTATCTTCCAGCTCCTCCAACAACACTTGATGCTTTGCCCTCAGCTCTTTCACTTGCTGTTGCCTTCTCTCCAGCATCTTTATTTTACTGTTGAAATACAGCAGGCCCTGAGAGAAAATGGGTGTATTGATAATTACAGTTAGCATGTTAAAAACCTAATTGAATCACTCAGCTAGCTGAAACAAACCATCAGAACAAAATGCCAAATTACTGGCATGGCTCTTCATTCAAATACTCAACAAAACATATAAACTCATCACTTTTTTTTTTCAAAACCACAAAAAATAAACAGAGAACACTAAGATCTTAATTAATTGTATACAGCCAATGAAAGTTCTCCAAAGCTGCAGTAAAATATATTGTATTGTACTGTATTAATGTTATTAAATGCCAGTCACCTTGTCAACATCTTGGAATGGTTGCTGAAAAAAAAAGGAAACAAGTTAACATGATGAACAAGACATTATTGTATGAGAAGCTACAATAAAAATATCTATAAGTTATCTGTTTGTATTTCAGGTAAAAAAAATATTCTATTTCCTTTATTAATGAAAGCATAAAGTCCTTATCTAAATGTGCTAAACTTGGAGCAGTTAATGTTCCACAGAAGAGGAGCCAGCTATGAAAAGCCAACACATGGCCAGTAATGAGTGCGAGTGATGAGCTGAATTGGGCTTGTGTTTGGCAGCCTTGCAGTTATTACACATTCCCCGGCAATCTTTTCATTGCAATCTTTTTTTCTCTAATTTTTATATGCTACCATCCCACCGCCATCAAAAGTAAGATGGATATTCGCTCATATCCAAAACCAATTTGTCCCAATTAGCCAATGCTTTTTAAACTCCTGACATTGCTAAGGAATGCTGCCAAAATACCAAGCTCTGGGAGACATCTTAACTCCGGGCTTTGCTGCTGAGCTGACTGAAGGTCAGGTGTCTGGGACACATCATTCCCATCCAGCTCTTTAAAAAGAAACTGGGAAGAGAGGAGCTAAGATTTTCCCACAACTTACTGTAAGTCCACGTGGCCCATCTTCAGCATGCATGACATTAAAATTGTGTTTGCAAAATATTGCTAAGACTTAGCAAGTGGGAGTCACATGACCTCAATCCAGACATGATATTATAGGATTCAAGTTCAGTCAGATAAGCATTCATGTAGCGCATGTCAGGATTGACCCTCTGCTCACCTCTGCAGATTCCTCCTGACGCCGTCTTTGGAGCCGTTCCACATCGTCAATCTCATACACTTTGATTTCAAAGGGCTCCTTCAATGGCCCAGACATAGGGGGCAAGTCCACCCACTGCCCTGTTGTGCCCACCTTCTTCCCCAGGGACGAGGTGTCTGGCAAGGGTGCTGGGATCAGCCGCCTTCTCTGGAAGCCTAAAAGCCATGCATGTAATGTTGGTATTCATGCACTGGTTAAGCTGCTGACACGGTAAGATGGTATTTTCATGCTGAGATATAAGGCTTTACGCATGTGCTTGGTTCATCATAATTCAAATACTCAATCCAAAATGGAAAATATAGATAAATAGACTATGTCACCATCTTTAACCTCTCTGATCTAACTTGTCTCCAGATCAAAGAAACGCTAATTAAAACATTCACCATCTTTTTCAAATACTGTATGAATAATTTATTTTGCTGATTCAGTGGAAGAGAAAATCCAATGAAATGCCATCATTATATTAATAATTTAACCTCTCTCACCAGAGCACTCATTTGTCATTTTTAGAGAACTGTAATTTGATAAATGTCAAATACATTTCTATTACGAATGCATTATACACAAAATGATATATTGTATGTATTGCAAATGGGTGCACTGCATGGCAAAACACAAAAGTTGCTTCTCACCAGTAGCTCTCTTTTTAGGATATTTAGAGCTCCTTGCTCTGCCCGAAGACGACATGCCACTTTCGCTCATGGAGTCGTGTGCTGAGGAAGCACTCCCTGTGGCTTCACTGTCTCTGATCATGCTTTCATACCCGCTGCTGCCTCCACTGTGGTAGAACAGAGCTGTTCGGCCCATAGCTGGGGGCAGCTCCCCGCTCAGCACACTGCTGTTGTCGCTGCCATGGCCGCTGCTGTAGCGCTGAGGCCGCCTGGGTGCAGTGATTTTGCTGTATGGAGAGGGCAGGATGGCTGTGGCTGGTTTGTCATCACTCACATTCACCCCACTGTCATTTCCACTGTCTGAATCTCCCGATCCTCTTCCATGTTTGCCAGATATGTTGCCGGTTGCCAGCTCACTCACGCGGCTATTGGCGGCCCTAATGGCCTGTTTTGTACCCATGATAGTTCCTCTTCCAGGTTTACTAGTGACTGAAGCAGCAGTCCGAGGGGCTGATGTTCGCCCTGATGGAGGCAGGTTGGCATTGGTGTTCCTGGAAACAGCTGGGGCCAGGGATTTTGTGGAGGAGCTAAGACCTTTCGAGCTGTTAGCTGACAGTGAGCGTGCCTTGCTTCCATTCACTCCTCCTAATGCTCTGGGATTTGCAGAAATTTTTCCCTGACCAACTTTATTTACATTTCCTCCACTCTGAGTAGATGGACAAGTAGCTATAGGAGAGCTAGATGAATTAGGAATGCCAAATCTTGGAATAGACTTGCTGGGCTTGCTTCCCAGACTGGCCCCACTGTTCTCCCTACTAAGTGCAGCTCTAGAACCCGATAGAGACAGACTTTCACATCTTTCCAGAGACATTTGACTGCTGTAATGCAGCCCAACCTCTCCTCTAGGCCCTTTAGCCTTTAGGCTCGAGTTAACTTTGGCTGAGTTGAGACTGGAAGTTTTATAACTGGTGGAGTCTGCTCTATGTCGTACCTCAAGCTCATCCTCTGACACAGCTGCCCTCGTCCCAGAAGCCCTCCCTGCCTCCCCATATGCTGACTTTAAGGCACTTTGGGGCAGCAGGATTTTGGTCTTGTGTTCAAGACTGGACTTTCTCAGTGGAGGGGGAGGAGGCGAGGTGCAGCCAGGTCTAGGGAGGTTATTTGCTTTCTGTGAGCTAGCCTTGTTGCTTTTCCCCAGAGAGGAGAATTTAAGGCTTGTGGTAGATGCAATGATGTCTTGGGTTCCCTTGAAGTCTGTAGAGGAATGAATGACGGGCACTGTTCCCAGGGTGGTGGCACCTCGCCTCAGCTGAGGCATTTTGCTGGGTGGGTTCCTGATGGCTGACTTCTCACAGCCATCAACCACCCTCTGGGATGAGGTAGGCCCCTGCACCTTGGGTGGGCGAGGTACACTGTTGCTGTTGTGTGATGCTTTGCTGGAGGGAATACCACTGGGGGGATTTCTGATGAATTTGCTGGTGCTGTTTGAGTCAGCAAACTGAGGTTCTGGATGGTTGTCAACATGTTGCCAGGGATCCTCCTGCTTAACCTCTTGCCTTGGTGGATCCCTACTGCTGCTGCTACTGCTACTACTATGAGAAATGGATGAGGTAGGTTTGATCTTCCTGGGAAGACTGGATTGGACTATGGAAGGGCCCTGTGGGAATGGGGAGGAGGAAACTGAGTGAGCTTTAGTCAATTTAGATGTGAATCTGAGGGAGCCTTTCGTTGATTCTGGTGATGGGGGAAACTTTGTCAATGATTGTTTGCTTGAGGCAGCACTATCACTGTCTTGCTCTGAGAAACTAAATCCGCTGTCGTTCAAGGAGTTCTTGGCATCTCTAGGAGATGGTATACAATGAAACATCTCAAGGGAATCAAAGTAGAAGGTGGCCTCTGGACCCACATGTTTGGACTGTGGAAGGAAAACGTCTGTCGAATGAGCCCCTTCACTTTCCAAGGTGCAGACACTAACTTCACTCAACCAAGAGCTGATAGATGAGCCCCTACTGTCTACACACTCTGTTGCTGATTCCTGAAGAGGTGTGACCACTGCAATGTTCACCTCCGGTCCTCCTACAGCTGATGTATAGGCATCAAATTCATCATTGATACTGCTGATGATGCTGACAGGCCGGGAGCCAGAGGCCAGTGCCTGAAGCGAGCAGTCGCTGTTAAAGCTAATGATGCTAGATGGCCGGCCCTTTTCCACAATACTGCCAATAGACAGTTCTTCCACTACAGTAAACACCAGTTCATCTTCTCCATTCAGCTCCACGGGCTGCTGCAAGGTCACCGTTGCTCTGAGGATGTCTCGATCCAGACATCTTTCCCTCAAAGTGGATCGCACCTGGCACACCTCTACTGGGGGTCTGAGTAAAGGGGATGTGCAAGGATCCCTCCTTTTCACAGCTTGGTGGCTCATTCCCACAGGTGGCATTCTGGTGCTGGATCTTTCCTCATGGGCTGAATTTTGTCTGGGCTGTGAAGGTGGTGGTGCTGGCTTTGGCAAAGTTTTCTTGTTGAAGTAGACCTTCTCCCGCACCACCGGCTCTGGGTTTGCACCTGCAGCAGGTGTTGGTTTGTTTGTACTAACCACATTTTCACAGGCCAAAGCCTTTTCGCCATCAGCACTAGTTCTGCATATATTCTGAACACACTCTGAGGGCAACCTTTCTGGAGTTGTACATTGCCTCTTGACACTATCTGCTTTAGATTTAGCATTGGGACTGCAGGGCTGTTGTGCGGGGACCAATTTGGGTGATTGTTTGTCTGAGTTGACCTCTTGGCTGTTGGAAATATTTGCTACAGTCTTTGGTGAATTAGATTTGTCTGTCTTCGGGCTTGCCTGGCTTCGCTTGCCTTCTCCAACAAATGCAGTGGGTTCTTCACTACCATCTATACACTCCAGTCTCTCCTGCAGCTCAGCAAATGTGTTGCATTTAAAGAAATGGTCTCTGTCCAACGAGCCCTCTTTTGTAGTCTTCTTTTTGTTCAAGGAGGGAATAATTGGAACAAATGCGGGGGGTCCTTCATTGTCACTAAGTTCCCTATCCGAGATTGCTGTTCCTCCAGGGCCCACGTAAATAACAGTATCACAAGACTGTTCACTACTTGAAGAGTAGTCTGGATCGCTGAGCAAGGAAGGCATGTCCGGGTCCAGGGCAACTGTACGGGGGTGGAAGGGCCTTAGGTGGGGAGGCCGGCGAATCCTCCCTTCCTCACAAGAACTTTCACCTCCAGATGAACTGGAAGCATACTGTAAGGAAGAGTGAAATATAAACATTCCAATATGAATAAAACTGCATTCAACTTGAAAACAGCTTGAAAATAATTTAAACTACATACTGACTTTGAAAAGGATCAGGTTGGGTCAGTAAAATCTTTTTCCTTCTATTTATTTTAAGTTAGTGGGTAAAATCTTCTGGTTAAGAAGTACGTGGAAGAAACAACGAATGATGATTAGATTATGGCAACTGAGGATACCAACTATTTGACTGTCTGTTGTAAGTGGCATTATCTTGTCCAAATTAGGAGGGCAGATGGATAAAGAAAACTAATGTGGTTTATTCGGCTCAAGCATACATGAAGCAGAGTTGCCTGATACTACAGGGTGTGTGTTTCGTTTTTATGTATAGCACATTTGATTGTGATCCACCCCGCTTGGTCTGGACTCCTGTGATTTCTATTTGTAACCACAGAGGTCACTGTTAAGTCTTCTTAGTAATTGGTTCATTTGTAAAGATGACAGTCCTGATGTTTTAACTTTTGAAATATTTTTCTTATCATCCTCTGATTTCAAATAAAAAAACATTAAAAATGGCAGTTGATCATTTGAAAATTGTGAATTTGTCATGAAAGTTGCATTTTTGTTTTAGTATTTCAGTTTATATTCAACACACACTTGCAATCACATACAGTAATAAACATTACCGGAACCCAATTCTGAATTAAGAGGTTCGTAATAAGCTTGATCAGTTTATTGGTGCACCTTTGATTTCTTCTTTCTCATGCGGTGGATACGGGATGCCAGCTGGATAGTGGTGAGTGACTCAGCATAGTTGGCTGGAGAATCTGAGATGTGGGCAATCATAGTGGTTCTGCAGTTGATGTTGCCGAGGGACTCCCTCAACAACATTGTCAGTTTGCTGTCCCTACAGGGGAGATTGCCATTGTTATTAGCAAATAGCACAGTCATATTTCAAAATGATGACAAAGGGAGCTGACATGACTCCAGGGTGAGCCACTTTAAACACTCTGAGGTGAAAAATACTCCCAAATGACAGGTCATTAATCTCTTGCTACCTGGGAAACTATACGATCTTGTGCAACACCAGTGAAAGCGGTTATCTAAGACTAACTAAACAGGCTAAATAAATAGTCACACAGCATACCTGTCAACCGGAAGGAACATGCAGTGACTTGTTTGAAACAATTAACCTATGGATGTAAAATCTCAGAGGCAAAGGCATGTTTAGGTAGACAGTAAAATGAATGTCATGTCTCTTTACCTGTATGGTACATGTTTTGCTCCATTTGCAAGAGCCATTATGACGTTCCCCAGTGCATTCAAGGAAAGACACAAGCCTCCCCCTCCATCTCTGCTTTTACTCAGGAGTTTTTCACAGCTCCCCAAGTCGATAAGGTGCAGCCTGCTCCGTCCACCTGACACTGCCAACGGTAAGAGAGGAATCTGGTGAGTGTGATACAGACACTCCCTGTCTTAAGTTCGCTCCTCACACACAAAGCCACGGTAGCGGGAGTGTCCCAGCTCCGTTTGAGCCTTCTGGCTTATTTATGATTAAGATTCTCATACTGAAGTGATTCAAATAACGGACATCTGGACTTCCATCCAGCGTTTAACTCATGGTCTCAGCAAGTTTCCTCTCAACATGAATCAACATGTTTAAAATAAACATGATTAATTAATTGATTAATTGATAATACAGACTTTTTTCCAGTTATTCAACATCCTCGAACTTAGTTTGAAGACTCAAGTGGGGGATATTATGTTTTATATTACTTAAAGAGACAGAACATATGGTCCATTTTCAGTACCACATAAACGGTTCAGATTTGACTCCAAATGTCAGTGAGGCATTTCTAGATGCTGCTCTACAGAACTGAAGCCATGCTGTATTACTAACTTCCGCCTTTGCCGCTCTTCTCCATGCGGTACTGGTAAATGTGCAGCGTGAAGAGCATGTGGGAGTTGCGCCGCTGATCCTCATCGGCGTCCGGCCTGCTGGTGCTGCGTGCGGCGATGGCTGCATCAAGGAAGAAGGCAGCTTTCTCAGCAGTGGGGGCTCGAAGCTCACTCTGATTTTGGAGCTATAGGGCAAAAGGAGAAATTAGAGAATGGGGTTAGGATGAGCAGAAAAGACCACATAGTGCTTGAGAAAAGGAACAGATGTGAAATGAGAGGCACAAGAAAGAGAGGGGAGCCAGCTAATTGGACCCCAGCATACATTTCTCCCCCATTAGAATGAGTCTCCTGGGCAATTAAAACAGCAGTTATGTACACAGAGGGAGAAGGATTAAGGGAGGTAATGGAGGAGAAGGAAGCAGGGGTATTTCTCCATGATGTGAGGAGGATAGTAGAAAGAAAGCAAAGGGATGGAGGAGAGGGAAAGCAGGAATCACGAAGGAGTGCACACATGGCTGTCGAGGGGAAGTGGAGCTTCACAGAACTGCACATCCTTTGAAGTCAGAGTCCACAGTTATATCCAAAAAACAACATCTGTCAGCAACACCTGTCAGTGCCCTCTAACCTACAATTCTCCACCATCCCCCAAAAATGTTTCTATTGTGCTATACGGGATTAACTCTAAGCCATGAGTAATAGAAGCTGACAGGAGAGTCAATACAACAAAAAGAAGAAAGCTATCAATAACACGGATGGGTTTAGGTGAAGAATAAAAACGCGATTTGGGAGCAGGTAAAACTGAACACGATGGACTTGGACGTCCCGGGAGATCAAACTTCACACGCATACATTCACAGGATACATCTTTGGAAGAAGAAGAAGAAGTAGATCATAGACCGAAAAAGATCAATACTCAGGCAGCTATCCTTAAACCCACAGAGAGACTGAAAGGATCTGTGAGGACGTGGAGTGCCTCTCACCTGAGTGCCACAGATGGGATCCTCTCTCAGATGGATTCCTGGGGACTGGCCTTCCTGCAGGCTGCCTGTTGACACCTCAGATAGCAGGTCCTTCAGCTCTTCATCTTTTCCAAAGATTTCCACAGCAGACACACGGACTGAGAAGCGGGTGCCAGTCTTCTCCTTGCGCTCATTGATGAGCTTGAAGAGCCAGGAAATGGCACAGGGCACAATGCCTAAGCTCTGAGTGGTGCTGTCTTTGCCAATCATGGTGTATGTCTTGCCTGAGGAAGTGTAGGAAGCAGAGGGGGGATGTAAATGGAAATATAACATTGGGTCTGCAGCCATCCATACTCTCCGCATTTTTTCCTAATATCTTATTTCTTTTGCCAAATGGTCTGAGAAGAGTAGGAGTTTCTCCAAGAAATATGCAGTCGTCACACTTTGTCTGAGGGTTAATGCGTTAAAGATGCCCATAAAAAAAAAAAAGAGAAAAAAGATGTGGGAATCTGGGGCAATATTCAGCACAAATCAAAATTAAATGGTGGTCTAAGGGCCTATTGCAGAAGCAGTCATTCTGGTGAGAATCACAGCTAACTGCAGCAGGAGGAAAGCAAGCCCGTCAGCCTAAGAGCGCCGGCCAGAACAATTACTTAGATTTTAATTACAGACTGAGCCCTGAACTCTGGAAGTAGCCCTTTAGCTTTCACCCCCACCTCAGACTCACTCTTATTCTTATTCTTTCTCCTCCAACCTCCCGATTCTTGACTCACCCCAGTGCACTGCTAAGCCAATTGCGGACATCGAGTGTAGCTAACAAGGAGCAATGATAGTTTTTTTTTCAGCTAACAAAGGCACTTGTCGAATCTGATGCCGATGGAGGTGCTTACCGAGCTTGACTTGACCGAAGCAGAAGATGCAACCATCTGCACCATTCACCACAGACTGGGTGACCTCAGCTACTGTTCCTGAGCACACCTCGGCCTGTGAGAAACACAACAAGACAGCTCCTTTCACAGTTCAGCCACAACTGAGAAACAAAAGAAAATTAGCGTAATGAAAGCAAAAGTTTTTTTTCCTAATTATGTAAACAATATCATTTATATAATTTTGGTCAGAAGCTCACATCAATGGCCGGGATTATCCAACACTCATATGTTTGTTTGAAATCTAAATATTTGACCCTTCCAAAGTATTCTAACGTGGGTCCTCTGGCGCAAGTCTTCTGCGGCAGAGGCCTTTTCCCATACGTCAAACAGCAAACTAGAGCTCTAACAGCGAACAGCTTGCTGTGACTTAGCCACCAGCACTGCTGTCCCAGCTGCACAATCCAGCAGCTTGTCCTAAACCCTTCAGCAGAAACATTTAGGCGTCAGCTATAAGGAAATAAGTAAGCTGCTGAGGCATGCAGTATGAAGAAAGATTGTTTTGTTTTTCTGCCATGGAAATGCTATTCTAGACCAGTGATAACTGACAGTGATAACTGACATTGGATTTAAACTGAGCTAATGGCACCTTAGCAAATCTGTGAAGTGACCAATAAGTCTCTGCCCCTTATTCTCAATAAAGTAGTAGTTTTGCCTTTGATCTTAGTGGGTGTTGTGCAGTTAGATATAGATATAGTCGTTCTATGAAAGGAGAGATTAGATATATGGGGAGTGGATTCAAATCATTCCTCAGATGGCTTAAAAGGCCCAGCTGTTAGGCCCACACTAGCAAGAGTGCCCTCCTGACCCAAGACAGGCATTTTTACTCTAAGCCCCTGGTCACACCCTGTGAGCATAAAGATGTCCCTTTTGCCCTTGAGTGGCTGAATTCTCACCCAGCACCTTTTTAAAAAAAACACACAGACACACATAGAAGCCCTTACTTGTGAGGCATCCTGGGTAAAAATGGCATCGAAAGCAAATATCTTTGGGACGGCCACAGTGGCAGACCTCCGGTGCCCTGAGCTGGAGTGTGGGCTGGACGCTGGGTCGTAGAGGGTCAGCTGCTTTTTCCTGCTGTCAACCTTCAAGAAGGATTGAGACTCTGAGGAGTCTGTAGCCTCCAGAGGGGGGCAGATTCGCATCATGACTTTCACCTGGTAAGATGAGCAAAAAGACAGCAAAAAAGGCAGATTAAAAAGGGTGACAGCACAAAACATGAGAAATGGGCAGACAAACTCAGCAGAGACTTCTGCACTAGCAGCAAAAACAGGAGCTATTTATAGCAGGCTTTTTGACTATACGTTTCAAACCGAGTCCTTCAGTATTATGCGTTGACTTCCCAACCACTGTTTCACATCCAGGTTACCATGGAAACTCACAATGACTGGCATACTCCATGGGTCAACACATTGCTTAATGGTGGTGGTAAAAGGCAGCAAGGTGAGGATTGAAAGTCATAGCTGAAAAAGGTGGAAATTGATGTGTGTGAAGCGTCCTGCTGGGGGATTATCCTACTCGAGGTGGTTTTTTCTGGACGGAGAGCAGCTCACCAGCATGCAAGAGCAGAAGCATATGCCCCTCCTTTATCCCACCTACTCACTATTCTCTTTCTCATCTCCCCTACTGCATGGAAAATGCCAGCTCCACATTAAGAAGCTGGAAACCCACCCAGATGCTTCCTGGGGATTTACATTCATGGAGTCAACTCACAATTTGAACGCATTCCTCAGGTTAAAGTACAGCTCATCATCCAAGTGTGGTAGAGTGAAAATGATGACAGCTTTTAGGTAAAGGTGCTAAATCCACTCTGCTTTGACAAGACCATTCATGTCTGTACTTAATGCTGTGGAATAGTGTGGCATCAGCTTGCTAGTTCTGCACAATTGCACCTCTTATTAAAGCAAAGAAATCCAACAATTCCCGGTATTTACCTGCGGCACAGACGTACTGTGTGTGGTTTGTGTGGGTGTGTAACTCTATGTCAGGGTATACAACTACCCTCTTTACGTGTCACCTTTTAAAATTCTAACAACTCTATATTGACACAATCTGATGGTCAGATATGTGCCACTCTGAAGGCAATGTGAAGATATATCTGCGACTCTTGGGAAATGTTTAGCAGTCTTGTGACTTCCTGTCATCTCCTAAAGTGTAATGTGTGACATGTGGCATGCCGGGCTATATGTGATCCTAAGCCATTTGGAAATTTGGTGGAAAAAACCCTGGCTTTATTTTAGGTACTGTAATAAAACCCGTAAAATACAAGCAACTTTACTCTGTTTCTAACAGAAAATGCTTTTGTTCTGCATGGGGGCTCTCCTCGCCTACACAAAAGGTCTATTCTTCCTCTGTCATACATATAAATACTGCTACATATTTAGGCTACAGCACTGCGTGGCAGTGTGACTGGAAATCCCTTTCTTTCATTGAGTGAATTTGTCTTGGATCCCACTGGCCAACTGCAAACTCTCTTTGTGCTCCATAGAGAGCTCTTACGGTGACTGACATGTGCATATGTTGAGTAAATTGCATCTGCTATGACATTTAAACTGAGCTTCCACATATGTGTCTAGCACGCAGAGGCTACCAGAGGAGTTAATGTCTGCTTTATTTATGTTGGCAGGGATCAGATATTGAAGGCCAGAGTGTTTTCACACTTTGGATTCTGTGCTAATGGTCTCTGTGTCCATGTCCCTTAATCCCTCTGAAAATCCATCCATGGGCTTGGCTTTATTCCGTCCATTTAACTGTCCGTACCGTACTGAAAGATATGTCTTCGGGTCAAAAGTGGAGAGATGGAAGTGACCTAAATATGCCTGACACGATATACACTCTTATGTTGTATTGATGTGACACAGAAGCAGCCAAAGTCGACGCTAGAAAAACAGTAACTGTGTTCGTGAATGAAAATGTACCATTTCCTGTCCAAAGCGGAAGTTTTAGTTCAATAATATTATATTATATTATATTATATTATATTATATTATATTATATTATATTATATTATATTATATTATATTATATTATATTATATTATATTATATTAT